GGATTGAACCACGGTCCCTTTGCTTTGCTAAGCTTGTTCTAAGTAGGTGCTTTAGACCACTGAGCCATCTCACCAGCCCCCAGATCTTAATAATATATTTGAGATTTTAACAGTGTATACTGCCTTTGATTTCATTTTGAATAGGTGAAAACTCACCTGCCTCGTCCTGCCTTCTGTTACATCTTCTCAGCTCGGACTAGCCTGGAACACATTGCTATCATTGAGGAAGACCGCATTTCTAAGCTTTATCAGCCTCCAGTTTTCCACTGCTTAAAAGAAGTTCTCCAGGTAACATCTTTGTTTCTAACAAGTTCTCCAAGTGCTTCTGCCCTGATGATGTGCTTTCAAGTTAGCGGTAATTCTCATTGCCTTTCCAGACTGACTACCTTGGTGCCCGGTGCAGTTTCTATGCAAGAGTGCTTTATCGAAGACCACAGGTAATGCACCCTTCCTCCTTTCGTCCCCCTTCCCCTAGTTTAACAATAGGGTGCCAAAGGAGACGCACAAGTTTGAGCACAGTATGGGCAACTTAACAACTTAATGAGATCCTGTCTCAAAAATAAAAAATAAAAAGGACTGGGGATGAAGCTCAGTGTGAAGGTCCTGGGTTTAATTCCAGTACTACTGTACACACACATACACACACACACACACACACACACACACACACACACACAATAACAGTGCAAAATAGAAAAGTGATTATTAACTCTAGGTAAGCATGACCCAGGCTAATGTTCTAACACATTCATTCCAGTGTGAGTGTAGACTGCTAGCCATTGTGCTAAGTACTGGGATAGAAAATAACCCAGAGATAACTCTGCTTTGAAAGATTCTTGACCCCTTAACATTTCATCTTTTCAGCTAAGAATATACTGAGTGGCACAGTGCCTACCTGGAAAGCACAAGGTCCTGAGTTTGATTTCTGGTAACAAAAAAAAAAAAAAGATTATCTTTTCTGACACATAGGAAGGTTAAAGGAAAGAAATACGTGGAAAGCTCATTTATCCAATAAGAATGGGAGTCTGAGAATTGATCACAGTCACTTCAGGGAACTCTGAGAGCTTCCAGTGTCAGAAATATCCCTGGAGTCACTGTGAGTCTGTGGGCAGCTCTAGCAAGTGGCAGCATAGCATAGATGAGCTTGCTATTGGGTCAGCTAGGAGTAGACAAAGGAAAGAGACACCCTTGGCTATCTGAATACGTGAATCAGAGTCTGCTGGACCTCGGCAGACTCCCAAAGGGGTGACCACATCTCCTTACCTGAGAGGCACAGGTAAGGACCTAGTACTGGGAGTTAAACCCAGGGCCTTCACACCGAGCTCCATCCCCAGTCCATTTTTAGTTTTCATTTTGAGGCAGGGCCTCACTAACTTGTTCAGGCTGAGTCCAAACTTGCAGTCCTTCTGCCTCAGCCTCTGGGCTACTGGAATTACAAGAATGTACCACTGTTTGTTAAGCCCTTAGGTACTCATGATTGGTATATTCTGGTCTGCAGTGGGGCAGATGAGACTGGGAATCCTTGAAACCGTGCCTCTAGGATATGTCAGGGAAGCAGACAGGGCCTTGGGTATCTGCCCCTTAGCAGGAGGCTGCAGTCTCACCTTGGCCAGTCAGGTGAGAACACCAGGAGATTGTTCATCGGGGAGGCTGGAGCCCAGGCAGGGCGCCTGGCCAGGGCCACGCATGTATACAACACAACAGGACATAGGCACCATGTTGGGTGGCCCCAGGGGTTCTTTTTTAACAAACCTATACCTACTTATCAAGATTTGACATCTAATCACCTGGCTTTTCTTTTTGCTGCTGAAGTATACTAACACAATTTCACTCCCATACACAATATGAATCCCTAAAAAGTACATGTGCTTTGTGTACAGCCGTAGTTCAGCTACCTAGTATAGGAGCTTTTCTTTTATGGGTAAGCTATCCTCAGTTATTTTTTCTTCTTTCTTTTTTTTTTTTCTTCTCTTTTTTTTTTTTTCTTTGTGTGTGTGTGTGTGTTGTGTTGTGTTGTGTTGTGTTACTGGGGATTGAACTCAGGGCTTTCACAGTGAGTTACACCCCCAACACATTTTTAACAACATTTTCTTTTTGGAGACAGAGTCTTGCTAAGTTACCCAGTTACCCAAGTTAGACTCAAATTCATGCCTCCGCCTCCCAGAATGCATACCATACCTAGCCAGAATTATGGGAGTTGGGCATCTCTATTTTGAACATTTATTTCATATTTCTCTGATTATCCATTGGCAGTGAAAGACATACAAGATGACTATTTGATTGAATTATTGATACATTACAAATATCTGAACATTACTAAAATTCTGTTACCGCAAGTGTGATTTGTCAGCTTATTCACCATCGATATCAGGATGGGCAAACTGCTCCTGTAAAGGGCTAGTAGTCAGTATTTTAGGCTTCTCAAGAAATACTGTTTCTGTAGCAACTATTAGGATCTGCCTTGCGATGCTGAAGCAGCCATATTGTCTTTCATAAGTGAATGAGCAGGACTGTTTCAAAAACATTTATTTATAGACACTGAAATGTGAATTTCATATACGTTTCATGTGTTACAAAATATTCTTGTGATTTCATTCAACCATTTAAAAATGTAAAAACCTTAAATATGTGTAAAAACTGAACTTAGGGGGATATAGCTCAGTGGCACAGGGCCTGCCTGGCAAGCCCAAGATCCTGAGTTTGATTCCTGGTATAAATAACAAAAAACCTTTTTGTTTTTAACCAAAAAAACTTCTAAGTTCAACTCCCAGTACCAAAATATAATAATAATAATAATAATAATAATAATAATAATAATAATACTTAGTTTGTAAGCCACGCATAGTCAGGTAGCAGCCAGACTGCCATGGGTTGTGGTTTCCTAACTCCCAGGTTCATGAGTCATTGGGCCATCTTTAAGCTATCCCAGGCCAAGTTCAGCAGGCAGGGTGGCAGGGCCAGTGAAGATGGTGACTGGGCACAGGATGGCCTGAGATACTCAGAAGGCTGCTTCATGTCCCTCTGCACATCTGCAGAGTGCTAAGTGTGTAAAGACACGCTCGGCATCGAGCACATTCCTGTTTCTCCAGAGCACATTCCAGGCTTCCCAGCAAGGCAGGTCCACTGAGCAGGCTCCACTTACACTGCACGTAGAACACGGTCTTTAGAGACCTGAGCAGCATTTGCTTCTGCCTGCAACCCTCAGCCAAGACCAGAGGCTGAGTAGGAGAAGCTGTTCAAATGCTCACCTTGATCCCAGATGAGGGAAACACAGGGCGAAGAAAGACAGACACTGAGACCTCCACCTCGCTGGGTGGAGGAGCCCTGCTGCGGGGACTGAGGGATGTGCACTGCTCCCCCATATGAAAAATGGGCTCGCACCATGCAGGTGCGGTGGGTGTGGATAGCTGAGGATTGGTGGTTCTGTAGTCAGGAACTAGTCAAGGACTCAGAACACAAAGGAACAGATTCCTTCATCCACTAAAATTCTGCTTATCCCCTGCATTCTGCTTTGGTGGGAAACAGAATCACCAGAAGCCAGCCTCCTGGGGAGGAAGTGAAATGAGCTGAGTCCTGGGTCAGTCTGTGGCCAGCTGATGGCCTGCACGCACTGCAGTGAGGACTGATGTGGAAGATGGCGCAGTGAGTCACTGCCAGAACCTGAGTCACCAAAGATCTGGGTGTATTTCCATGACACTAATGACTAAGTCATGAAAGCGAAAGATATGTTTTCTGTTTTCTTAGATTATTTTAATTTACTTTTATTTTGAAATAATTATAGATTCACAGTAGATTGCAAGAAATAAACAGGGAGTACCTGTTACTTCCCACGCTATCACCCCACACCCACAGAAACCACAGTGCAAAACCAAGAAACCGACACTGACACAGTCCATGGGGCTGGTTCACTTTTTACCAGTTGTACATGTACGTGTGTGTATGCGTGTGTGCATATGTGTGTGTGTACTCATGTGTATTTTGTGCAGTTTCTCACACATACAGACTTCTATGATCATGGCATAGTCTGTGTACCCTGCTGTCACACCACAGATCCTTTTCAATCTCCTTTTTTAGCCACATCTGTACTTTTCCCTGTTCCTGACCATGACAGCTACTGTGTTCTCCGTTATTGTTATTTTATGATGGTTATATGAATATAACTGTGCACTATGTATCTACATCAGTTTCTTAGAGCTTCCATATAATGTTTTAAAAACTAGGTGGCTTCAAAAACACATTTATTTATTCTCTCTCACTGTAGGCCAGACATGTGAAATCAAGATGTTGAAGCTGGGTGTGGTGGTGCATACCTAATTTCCCAGCACTCAGGAGGATCACTATGAGTTTCAAGTTCAAGGCCAGCTTGGGCTATAAAGTGAATTCAAGGCTAGCCTCAACTGCATAGTGCAACCCTGTCTCAAAAACATACACACTCCTACCAATTTGATTTGCAACTGTCTCATTGCTATTTGTTTATCAATAAAATTATGGGGAAAAATAAATAAATAAGAAACTGTCAAAAACATACACACACAACGTTCTTAGTTTTCTGAAGAATCTGCATACTGTTTCATAGTGATTGTACTAGTTTATAGTCCCACCAACAATGTAGAAGGCGTCTTTTTTAACCAAGACCTCATAAGCATTTGTTTTTGAGCTCTTGATAATGGTTATTCTTTCTGGAGCAAGATGATACCTCAGAGTTGTTTTGATTTGTATTTTCTAGTGGACAAAGATACTGAATCGTTTTTTTAAAATGTACTTATTGGCCACTTGTACTTTTAAGCAATGCTTGTTCATTTTAATTACTTATTTTTATTAGATCTTTTACTGAAATGGATTTTTTTTTTTAGTTCTTTTGTCTAGATATTACTCTTTCCCAGGTGTAGCTGGTAAAAAACTTTCTCCTGTTCTATAGAGTTTCTCTTTCTTTTACTGGACTAAAGCTTTTTAATTATGTTTGCATTAATTGATTCTTGGTATCATTACTTACGCACTTAGAGTTCTGTTCAGAAAGTCTTTGCCTATGCCTGTGTCCTCAAGAGTTTTACCTATTTTATCTTCCAGCAGATTGAATGTTTCTGTTTTAATATCTAGGCCATTGATCCATTCTTACTGAGGTGAGAGGTATAGGTCTTGATTTAGTCTCCTACATATAGGCAATCAGTTTTCCCAATACCATTGGTTCAACAGGCTATCTTTTCTCCATATTTATGTTTTTTGGCCCCTCTATCAAGGATCAGTTGGCTGAATGTACTTAGAATTGTTTCTGCATCTTCAATTCTGTTCCACTGAGCCACATGTTTGTTTTTGTGCCAGTGCCGTGCTGTTTTTATCACTGTAGTTTTGAAACGTAATTTAAAATGTGAGATTATGATGCCTCCTGCTTTGCTCTGGTTGCCCAGGATTGCTTTTACTACTCTGGGTGTCTTCTGATTACATATGTATTATGGGTTGTTTTTTTTTCTAGTTATGAAGAATGCTGTTAGTATTTTGATTGGTATTGTATTAAATCTATGTGTCATTTTTGGTAATATGGCCATTTTGACAAAACTAGTGCTGCCTGTTCAGGAATGGGGTATGAATCCATTTTATGGACATCCTCTTCCATCTCTTTTTTCAGAGTACCATAGTTTTCACAGTTTTTTTTTTTTTTTTTTTTTTTTTTTTTTTTTTTTAGCATTTTTGAAGCTATTGAAAATAGGGCTGTCCTAATAGTTTCCTTCTCAGTGGATTCATTGTTGGTATACAGGATGTCACTGACCTTTTTTTTAAATTTATTTATTTGTGTGTGTGTGTGTGTGTGTGTGGCCAGCTCAGCCTACCTGGGGGCGGGGCTGGCTGGCATGTGGTGCTGGGGGACTGAACCGTGGTCCCAGTGCTTTGCTAAGCTTGTTCTAAGAGGGTGCTTTAGACCACTGAGCCATCTCACCAGCCCGTCACTGACCTTTGTATGTTATTTTCTATCCTGCTACATTGTTGAAGTTGCTTTGTAGTTATAGGATCTTCTGGTGTAATTTTCAGTGATCACGGATCATGTCTGTGAATAAGGATAATTGATGTCTTCTTTTTCTCTATATATACCTTTTCTTTCTTTCTCTTGCCTGATTGCTCTGGCTGAAGTTTTGAGTACTATACTGACAGGAATGCTAAGAGTGGACACCTCTGCCTTGTTCCTGATGAAGTCATGGTCCTATACCAATACCTCCAACCAGAGACCATTGCCACAGAATTGATGGTAGACTTTTCCATTTCCATGTGTATAACAGTGAAAAACTTGATTCCATTTCTTTAGTGTTACTGACTTCAGCTTCTTCTATAACCGACCTTCCAACCACACAGGTGCCTTTTCCACCCCATCCACAGCTCCTCGCTATGCAGTTCATTTTCTCTTCCCAGTGCTGCTGACCAGCTACATAGAATCCTCAGCTTGGCCACACCGTCAATGCCAGCAATAGCACTGAGCCTCAGCTAGCAAGACCCTCACACCCATCCACTGGCTGTCCTTGGCCCAGTTGCATCTATTGAATCCTGAGCCTTGAAAGCAGGGAGAGAATTCCAGTTAATTGAACTTGTAAAAACATTACAACTTTCTTTTGAACTATTTATTTATTTATTTATTTATTTGGTACAGGGTCTTGCTATAGAGCTTGGACTCATAGTGATCCTCCTGTGTCAGCCTCCCCAGCACATGGGATTACAGGCATGTGCCACCATACTTGGTCTCTGTGGCTGGCCCAGTGCACCTGGAGTGGCATGCAGTACTGGGAATCAAACCTGGGTCCTTGTGCTTGCCAAGCAGGCACTTAGAACACCAAGCTATCTCCCCCATTACAACTTCTATAGATAAGGAAAAAATGAAAAAGTTATAATAAAAGAAAAGAAAAAAGCTGTTGTAGATATAACATGTGACATCTACACTATCCCAAGGCCTTGTACAAAGCCTGAGGGGTCACTGAGATCTATTCCTACCCCCTTGGAGACTTGCAGCTATCCAAAGAGAAGAATGCAGGTGCACACAGTAGTAGATGACATTTCAAGAATCCACATGCTAGGCCAGGCAGGAAAGAATAGTGAATGCTGCCTGAACAAGTCCAAGGAAAGCGCTGCCACCAAAACACAGGCAGTGTCCAGCGAAGGACCCAGTCACCAAGTGCAAGGCCAGGCACAGCCATGTTATAACTAAGATGTGCAAACTCTATCATATGTCTGAAGTGATTTCGAAGTAATTTCTTAAATTGTTAATGTTAGCCCCCTAAGATTATTGCTTTTTAAAGCTAATGTTGACTATAAGACTAGTTAATAGCCTTTACTTTTAAATTGCAGCTGAAGAGTCTGTTTCTTTTGGAGCAAAGGGAGATATGGCTTCTTGTGACTGACATCAGTCTGCAAACGAAGACTCAGAACAGCCCCCGCCTTCCCAGAACCCTGCCAGTCTGTGTGGCCCCCTCATGTGTGCTATGCCCGGAAGTTCTGGAAGCACTCACCATGGCTGCGCCCTGCAGCATCTTCTTCAGAGATGCTCTCAGAGACGAAGGTGTGCTGGCTTTTTCTGAAGAGCTTCGGTTGGAGTGACTGACAGTGGCCCTTGAAGTTTCCAGATGTCTTCATTTTGCTGGGCACTGCTTATACCTTCACAAGGCCTAGCACAGACCCAGCATACAGGGTGGGCTTTTGCTGACCTGTCACAGCCACCTGGGCAGACCCCACATCCCCCACATGTACACCTTTTTACCTTCTTACCTCAAGGGAGGGAGCTTGTAAAGGAGACTGTCTTTCCTGGCAGAAGTCAGGTTTTTTTCAGTGCTTCAGTAATTGAAAGTGTCTCTGTTGGCAGGTCAGATTGTTTGTGTTGAACGGACTGTCCTCTTGCTTCAAAAGCCCCTTTTGTGTGTGACCTCTGGTGCTGCCTCCTGTGAGCTAACTGGCCCTGTGGAACTGGATGAACTGGACTCCCACACCCCTGTCAACTCCATCTGTAGTGTGCAAGGTGGGCAGCCATCCAGTCAGAAATGGGGTTTATGTTGTCTTATAGTGTGCTACAGTATGTTCATTTACTCAACAAGGTTTTGTTCACTGCCTACTATGTTCCAGTCATGTGATAAATAGGAACAAAATGAGAAGAGGTTCTTGTCTCTTGGACTTAGATTCTATATAGAAACATACGTGTCTTTGTGACTCTTCCTATTGCCAGGACAAAATATCCAACACATGCAGTTTAAAGGAGAAAAGATTTATTATAGCTCACAGTTTGTAGAGATTTCAATCTACAGTCTGCTGGCTTCAAGGCAGGACAGGATGACAGGACACAGCAGAGGAAAGAGAAAAGGGAGGAGCCATGGAGGGAGATAGGCTCATTTAGGCCAAACTCAGTGACTGCCTTTTCTGACCAGGCCCCACCTCTCAGCAACCAAGCCCACAGTAGCACCCATAATCCAGTCACCTTCCACAAGATCCTGCATCTGAACACATGCAGCTTTGGCAGAACATTCAGACAGAAGCTATAAATTGCACACATCAGATAAGTGCAACAAACCATTGGAGAGCATTTCTAGTGTGTCAGATCCTCACCATGTCTAGAAGATCAGTGAAGGCTTCCTAAAGGCAGGATGCTGGAGCTGAGCTCTAAAGAGTAGAACAGATTATACCAGGGATGGGGGCAAGGAGCAGCACTTACATAGGCAATAACGAGAGCCAGTGAACAAGGAGCAGACACGAGGCTGCTGCGTGGAGAGAGAATGGCAAGGGGACCAGAAGGTCCAGCTGACTTGAGAATGTGCTCTGCTTTCTCCAGAGAGGGTATAGGCTCACTGCCATCCCTTCAGAACAGACGGATGGGCCAGCATGGCAATAGTAGCAACAGAGAAGGAATCCAATGATGGATTTATTTAGGAAGGAAACAAGTGGGTTGGGTGATGAACTGGGCCAAGAAGGAGAAGCAGAGACAGAGGGAGAGGACATATGTAGCCACCTGCACATCTGGCTCAGGCAAGGAGATGATGGTTTGCTGCTTGCCAAAGCAGGATACTGTACACAAGGCAGCTTTGAGGACCTTCAAGTTCTGTCAGGAGAGGTTGGGTATTCTCGTTACATATGAAGAGATGTTTCAATAGCTACTTGTATATATTAATCTGGAGCTGAAAATAACATTAATGTTTCTTTTTTTCTTTATGACAGGGTCTCACTGTATAGGTCAGGCTGGCCTTGAACTCCTTATATATCCCAAATTAGCCACAAGCTCATGATCCTTCTGTTGCAGCCCCACATAGCTTCCTATGTAATTTTTATAATATTAAAAAAAGAGAAAGCATTTCCAAGTGTGGGGGTACAAGGCTGTAATCCTAGTCCTCAAAAGGCTGAGGCAAGAAGATGCAAGCTCCAGGACAGCCTAAACTATATAACATTAATTCAAGTCCAACCTAGTCTAATATTAAAACCCTGACTCAAACTGTTTTTTAATTAAAACAGCCAGGCATGGTGGCACATACCTATAATTTTAGCACTGAGGAGGCGGAGGCAGGAGGATCACTATGACTATGAGTTCTAGGCTAGCCTGGGCTAGAAAGTGGGTTCAAGACCAGCATAGTGAAACTCTGTCTCAAAAAGACAACAAAACAGGGCCGGCCAAATAGCTCAGTGGATTAAAGTGCCTGCAAGCAGGCGCAGGGGCCAGGGGCTCGATTCCGGGGCCTGCTGAGCTGGCCTCACCCCTGGGGCGTGCTGAGATGGCAATTAAGACTGGGCATAGTGGCGCGCACCTGTAATCCCAGCACTTCAGAGGCTGTGAACAGGAAAATCACTAGGGTCCAATCTAGTAGTGAGACTCTGAACACCCTGTGGACCCTTCCCTAAAATACAAAAAAAAAAAAGACAAAACATATTCTATCCAGTGTCTGTTTAGAGGATGGAGATCTAATGTGAATTTTTCATAGTCAAATAGTTCATGAACAAACTGTTCCTCCAGTGATGAATCGCTAGGTTGTTCCTGTATTTTTACAGTTCCTTTATTTTTCCGTACTGATTTATATAAAGGAAGATTTCGGGAGATCAGCGTCATATATTTTTAAAATAATTTTATTGATACATAACTCATATACCCTTTAGTTCACTCATATAAAGTGTTTTAGGGGAAAGTATGGTAACACATATTTTTGGTTTTTTAAATAATTTTATTTTATTTTATTTATTTTTTTTATTTTAA